CTCTGCTTCTGTGTGTGTGTGTGTGTGTGTGTGTGTGTGTGTATCTCTGATGGCGGCGAAAAGTGGCACGTATCAATGTTGAAAGCGTAAACACAAAGAGTGCCTGAGCGAAGAGAGCGACAGGCAGACAGCCAGAGAGACGGGCAGCCCAGCAAAAACACACACAGAAAGAGCGAGAGCGACAGAGAGAGAGAGGAGGCATGGGAATATGCTTTCGCCGGCCGTTCCGTTGGTCGCATTACCGTTACGTTACCCTTTTGCCCGTGCCCTTTGGCTTTGCAATAGATTCTGTGTATTGCAAACATGACCAAATTTATGTATAATACACACAAACACAATCTTGCATGCTATTATGTATGTACATATGTACGTTGGCAAATGTAGGCAAACATACAAACAACTACAACAACCATTTTTTGTGAAGGGCACACAGTTGAAAGCACCGACAAAGATGACGACGACGGCAGCGGCGACGCTAGCAGCGTCTACGCCAACGGCAGCAGCGCCCGCAGACATTGTAAAATGGCAACAGCAGCAGCAGCAACAATAACGAAAACTGGCCAGCCCTCTGCTTGTGTGTATGTATGTGTGCGCGCGCAATAGCATCAGCATCAACTTTAAATACTTAGAGTCAATTCAACAATGCTCCAAACACGAGTCATTTTTAATGCACAAAACCAACAAGAACAGGACACACACACACACACATACAGAAATACACACACACAGACAATCACATGCTTCGCAGCCAAAACTGCTGACGCTGACGCATTTATCACTGCGCTGCTTTGGCAGCCAACAACAACAAGAAGAACGAAGGAAGAAGCCACCGCAACAACAAACAATAGAGCTAGCCAATGTAAAGTGTATGGAGCAAAGGAGAGCGGTGCGACGTTGCGGGGCAGACGACGCTCAACAGTCGTCGGCGCGCATTGGGAGTCATTGATTTTCGTTTATGAGCGCGACGGCGACGGTGACGGCAACGCGCTCTCACTTTTTATACGTTCATTCACACGGCGCACAGTGGGACTGTTTGTATGGAATGTTAATGATACGACAGACAGATCATTTAGGTATCATGGGCAGAGCTCACGGGGTTGTTGTCGGCTATAATTAAAGTCTTAAATTTGGTAAACACGAATTCGTGTAACAAAAATCATTTTGAAAAGAATAATAACACACATGTAAATAAATATTATGTTAAATAAAAGCTATTAAGGCAGTTGTTAGATTTTTGCACAATTTTCCCACTGTGTCTCCAAAGCAGTGGCTTGCTTGGCAAATGCAAAGAGCGTACAGCAGGCAGCAAAAGAGAGCGTGCGCGCAAAAAAAAAAAAAAACACGCAATGAGCTAGCGGTGCTGGCGGGGCGTAAGAGGCAAACGAATTTTAAATATGTTATTGATAATTAAATTGTTGCTGTGGCTGCGATACATCTGTATGCATGTGTGTAGTGTGTTTGTGTGTGTGTGCTCCTACTAGTCTATGGGGGCGGCACGTCTGCCTTTGGGATTTGTGCTTTTGCTTGGCTTTAGCGCGACTTTGGCAAATTGTGTGTGAAATGCAGACGTCGCGACAGCGTCGGCTGCTGCATATGCGTTGACGTTGGCGTCGCTGTTTCTGTTGATGTGTTTGTTTTTTTTTTTTGCTCTGACAGTGGGCAGTTTTCGATTTCGTTTCGACACCTTTTGTTGTTTGTGTTGTGTGTGTGTGTGTGTGCGTTTGCTGTAGCTTAAATTCACGGTACCGGTTAAAGCTGAGGCCAGCCATGCCTACCCGCCCCTGCTAATCGAGCACCAAACAACGTACACAACAATAACAAAAAAAAGTAAAGAAATAAAATGAAAAAAACAAAAACGAAACTCCATCTTGAAATAAAGCGCGCTGATTTGGCTCAGTCACAGCAGGTAATCGCTGCCACTGCTGCTGGCAGCTCGCCGTGCGTCAACCGTGTCAGTGTGTGGCATATGTATGTGTGCGTTAAATATTGTATATATGTACATACATATGTACATACATACATATATGTATGTATACAATTTATTTTATTGTTGTTTCTATTTTGGGCTTATCAGCAGCAAATTGAACGTAATAAATACTGAATTGTTATGCCATCTTCATTACGTAATTTGAATTTATCTTGCAGCGACCTGCATAGCTGCCTACGTAAATGCGACATTAAAGAAGACTGTGAGAGGGAGATGGGTAGAGTGCGTCTGGCCAATGGGGCCAGGGGCGATTGCGAAGGCCACGAAAGGTCAATGCAATGCAAAAAGGATACGCACGCACACAGTTACATACATGCGTGTGTGTGTGTGTGACATTGAACCAATAACGAATAAGTTCGGCGGCATTTGTAGCGTTCCAGTGATGATTACTTTCGCAAATAAACAGTTATATTAATATGTATGTATGTGTATATGTGTGTGTGTGTGTGCGCGCATAACAAGTAAAAGTCTGAGCTATATATGTAGATAATAAGTACAAACGCCTGCAAGGTCGATGAAAACAAAAAACAATTGCCATACATCTTTTTCTCTTTCGCTCTAGCCACAGTTCCTCGTCATAATAAAAACGAAATGAGGTTAGTTCAGTTTTTTTTTTTTGTATTTTATTTTAATGTGCGCCAAAGGAAAGCCTTCTAGGTTAAATAAATATAAATATGTACATACATATGTATGTACATAAATTTGCTGTTGTTTTTATTTTTGCCTTTTAGGATACGGCATGAGCTGTTGGCCAGCGAACAGTTATTTTGCTGCTGCTTCTTCTGTCGCTACCCACTCAGTTCACAGTTAAATGTGTATAAACAGATTTGAGTCATGACGTTTAGCAAGAAAATTGTATTTTGCATTGTTTATCGCTAGATTCCATTTTTTATTCTGCTTTTTCTTTTTCTTTTTTCGTAAATGTTCCAAGGAATTGGAAGTCAGCGCAGCGGCAATTAATAACAAGCAAACACCAACACACTCTCACAATCATAATGATCAACACGACGCTCTCTTTAAGTATACATATGCATGTGTGTGTGTGTACGCTGTTTGCCTAAACAATAAATGCACACACGCACACAGGCATAAATTAAGAGAGTGCCAAAAGTGACCTCAAGCTTTTACATTCACATACACACACACACACATACACACATGCATGCATGCAAATTGCATATTGGGAATTGTTTGTCAGCATTTGCATTTGCCAAAAATATTGATAGAGTCGCCGAGCAGCAGCGGCAGCGCCAATGGCCGCCATTTGTTATGCGGCAAGCTGGCAACTTAATAAATGCTGCCACTAACGGTCTGTGGCGCTGTCGCTTAAGGCCAGTTACTTTTTACATAATAAAAACAACAATACCAATACAAATGCATTTATGTACATATGTGTGTTTAAAATAAAAACTATAAAAGTTATGCTCGCTACTCACAGCGCGTGCCAAGCCGCCGCAGCAGCGACAGGCGGCAAAAGACAACAAGAGGCTCTCAATTTTTTATTTATATTTTTGCCAACTGTCCGTCGTTGTTGCCCGCCCGCCCTTTGCTCTGTTGGAGCTGGCCGCGCGTGTGTTTGCGTTTCGCTTCCGTTACAAATGGCAGCAGCAGCAGCAGCAGCAGCAGACAAACAAAAAAACACGCTAAGAAAATGCCCCACACATTACACACACAACACGCACGCACGCACACTTGCATACAGTGCCAAAATCTTGCATATCACACAGAAACATTCGCACATACACACACTCAACATATAGAGCACAGTACGCACGTACGCCATGCAATGCGCTCTTTATGTTGTATAGCAAGGCTCTCTTTGCGCTCTTTGGCTTCTGGCGCTTCTGCTCTGCTCAGCTTAGGTTAGCCGACGACGTCTCTGCTGGCTGCTACTTCCGTTTGTACGTTCGACAGCGATGCCGGCAGCGGCCGAGCCGAAGTTGGTTGAACATCTGTGCGCGCTGCCGACGACAACGTTGCTGCCAGGCAAACAAAACGTCCGCCACTGCCACTGCCGCTGTCGCTGCTACGGCCGCTGCCTATGCCTCTGCTGCCTGATGCCAGCTAAAGCCCGTGCGCTTCATTCATTCAATTTTCAGTTCACATTGAACGCGAGAACTGTGCGGACGTGCAAGCGGCAGCGGCAAAGTTCGGCCTAGTAACAACACAAGTAACGCAACAACAAAAACCACGCGCTCCCCAACTTACACGTTCCGCGCTGTCTCTCTCTCTCTCTCTCACAAACAAACAAGCAACCTCAACAGGCGCCTACAATTTCCCAAAAAACTTAATTAAAACAACAAATCAAGCAATTAGTAAAAAGACTTGTGCCTCTTACCCCTTGACTTTGTGTACGTCGCTATTGTCGTACCCCTTCATTTAACCTGCGCCCCCTTCTAGCCCTCCAAAACTGCACTTGCACTGCCCACCGCCTGAAGACGCCGCGCGTTAAATAAATGAACAATAAAAACCAAAAAATTAAAAAACTACTTAACATATTTAAGTCAAAAAGAAAGGCTGCCAACTTGAATTGCAATTGTCATTGTGTGCCTAACCGAACAGTTATAAATATATATATACATATATATGATTTTTTTTTTTTGCATTTTTGTTGGGTTCTCTTTCCTCGCAGAAATTCAAAAGTCCTGGATTATTTTGAATTTTGAGGTAAATACAAATACGGTAATAGACAAAAAGTGTGCGTATTAATGCAAATTAACGAAACATAACGGGCCACACGTTCACACAAACTAACTTACACATACAATCAAACAGCAAAGTGAAATCTCACGCAGCGGCAGCGCAGCACGCAGCGTGTCGAGTCAAGACCAGACACGCACACACACACACACACACGCACACGCGTGTTGTAATTGCAAAAAAAAAGTTGCTTCCTGTCGAATCCAAAAGTTTTCTAAAACAAAGTGTGCTTATAAAAAACAGTCACTAAGACATTTTACTGAAAGAGAGAACATTAAACTAAAAACATTTAAAAATTGAAAAAAAAAAAAAAGTGAAAAACAAAAAAAAAAACAAAAATAAACAGACACTGTGACGCGACATATGAACGATTTGTGGTTTACCTTGTGTGCAGTGGGAAGAAGTAGCAGCAATTGCAGCAGCAGCAGCAGCAGCAACAACTAAGCGAGAAGAAGAAGAAGCAGCAGAAGTTAAAAGAAGAGAGAGAGACTTGGAAGAGTCCACAGCAAAGCTTTGAATGCGTTTCAGACGCACACACTTGCAATCGCACTCGCGCACGCACACACAGACACAGACACATCGCACAATGACCTTGCCAACCAATACAAATGCAGCGAACGGCAGCGATGATGACTCGGACATGTTTGGACCGCCGCGCTGCTCGCCGCCGATTGGCTATCATCATCATCGGTCGCGCGTGCCAATGATCTCGCCCAAGCTGCGCCAGCGCGAGGAACGCAAACGCATCCTGCAGCTGTGCGCACACAAGCTAGAGCGCATTAAGGACTCTGAGGCGAATTTGCGGCGCAGCGTTTGCATTAATAACACCTATTGCCGACTCACCGATGAGCTGCGACGCGAGAAGCAAATGCGTTACCTCCAGAATTTGCCAAAGTAAGTAAAAGAAAGAATAAAAAGAAAAAACACATACATATGTGTGCGTGTGTGCATTTTTGAGGCTATGATTATAAGCTATAAGAGCGTGCCAGTGTTGCCAGCTTTTGACGAAACAAAAAAAAAAAAAAGCTGAACTAAGCTGCAGAATATATGGCCATTTTATTCGATTTTGTTCCCGTTGTGCTTCCCCCGCTGAAATGTGAACTTCAACATTTATCTCAAGTCCATAAATATCTTGAACTTTATAAGAACTTCATACGTCAAGCGTCTAAAAAAAAAAAGCTGAATTGAATATGAAAAAGGCTAAATCGGCATCTTAGCGGGGAGAGTAGCCCACGCGTTTGCTCATTTGATTGCCCTTTAAAGTTTGTGCGTGAGCGTGTGCAACCTTCGCAGTTTGCGAAAGGCCAAAGTGCGTGTGTAGCGAGAGACGCAGCGCGAGCGAGCGAGAGAGAGGGAGAGAGAGAGAGAGAGAGGGTGAACTGATGCTCTGACTTAAAATAGTCGAAATATATGCTAAATATAATCGATGTTAATGCGCATGCAGCTATTTTAAGCTAAAAAGAAAAAAATTTATATAAAAAGTGGTTTGAGAAATGCGCAAATTGAGACCAAAAACAGATCAATGCAAATGCTGTTAAGTTTAACCGTGCCTATTTAGTTTTTTTTTTTTTTTTGTTTTATGACTGCGTGGCAACGCTCGAACAAGTCTTTCGTTCTGTTTTGCTTGCTGTGTGTAACTTGACGCGCGCTTAAGGATATTTCCGTCTGAGCTGGGCTGCGGTCAGCGGCAATCGCAGCTAGTCGCCGCTTCCTGCAGGCAAACAACAACAACAGCAACAGCAACAACAACAGGCCAGAGACAATAAGCCCAGCGCTGCACATGTACAGTGGGCAGTCGTTAAAATGAACGCCAAAAATTTGCCTATGTAGTAGATGGAATTTTTATATGTACATATGTTTTCTTTTGGTCTTATGTGAAAGCAGCAGCATGAAGTGTTTTGATGTTTGGCTGGGGGCCGAGAGAGAGAGAGAGAGAGAGGGGGGGGGGTTTACAACTTGACTACAATTAGTTCATTATAGCGAACGTGCACAGTATTTCTTTTAATTTTTTGTTGCATTCAGGCCAAGCGCAAAGCAAAGCGAAGCACAGCAAAGCAGATACTCAAGAGACATTAAACAATAACAACAACAACAACAACAACAACAACAACAACAACGGCAAACAGTTCAAACAGAAACAGAAACGACACAACATACAAAACGAAACGAAAGACGGCGGCGCAGCGAAGGCAGCAACTAGAAAAGGAAAGAGAGAGAAAAATAAAAACGCAGCCAGCAGCAGGCGAGCCAACTAAAATTGTCTGTCCGTCCGTCGGTCGGTCCGTTCGTTCGTTCGTTCGTTCATTTGTCTGTCGCTGTAAAGAAGGGCGTGTGTATGTAGCAGCGGCAGCGGCAGCGGCAGCAGCTAAAGATGAGAGCCAGCAGCGGCAGGAGTGCTCGAGTCGAATGTGAACGACTAAAAGATACCCTTTAAACAGCTGCAAGAGACCAACATCAAGAGCTAGTCGCATTTGAACGACTAAAAGATACCCCTTAAATAGCTGCTAGAAACTAATCTACCCTATTTCACAATATTCAAATATATGTAACAGGCTTTTGTCCAAAATAACCAAAAAGTTGGCAGCAACACACACAAAAAAATATACATACATACATATGTACATATTGAGCACACACACACGCGCGCATCTGAGATGCGATAACAAAAAGAAAGAGAGACAGAAATTGGCACATAAATTGATCGCAATTATCGCTTACGCAGGATAGTCAATAATCAAGTTATTGCTGTCAATCTCAGGGCAAGCAAATTAGAAGACAGCAGCACGAAAAGAAACGTAAAATGAAAAACTTTTAAAAGGCAGCAACAACAACAACAACAACAACGCACGCGCACACCCCAAATACAGTGGGGAACAACCTTCGCAGATAGCGCGATTTACTGCCAGCAGCAGCAGCAGTAACAAAAAACCAAAAGAAATCAAAGCAAGCTGTAGAAATACACACACACACACACACACACACTGTTCATAGCTGTGTGTATGTGTGTGCTAAAAAACGTTGCGCTCGTTGAAATAATCACGTTCCACTTGCAACAAAAAGCAACCATAACAGCAGCAGCAACAACAACAGAGAGCAGCAGCAGCAGCAGCAGCAGCAGCAGCAGCAGCGACAGCGATGATAGCAAGAAACGTTGTTGTTGCTGTTGGTGCACCTCTAGACGCTACATATACACATACCACAATCTACACATAAATACATACACACACACACACACACACATGCAATACCACAAGCCAAAGCCAGCACATGCCAACTACTACTACAACAACAACAACAGCAGGCAGCACAAAACGCAACCAAAACCTTCAGACTTTGCAAACACACACACACACACACACACACACACGTACACGTACACGTACACGAACACAGCGACATTAGCATATCGTATGTATGTAGATGTGCGTGTAATTATTTATAGCCATACAGAGTCAAAGAGTTATTAAACCTTTTCACAAACACACAAAATACAATTACTAAAGAAATTCTGTTGCAGATGAAAACTAAAAAAAAATATGGCATTTTGTGCTGATCTTGAAATACTTGTCAATTATTTTTGAGTGCAATTGGAAATTGCGTTTGCCGCATTGCCGATCATTAGGAGCTGCATACGCATGCGTTATTGTTGTTGCTTCTGCTGCTGCTGCTGCTGCTGCATTTTAACGCTCTTTGGCGCGCTACACTCTCGCACAAAGCATCAATGCTACAACAACAAAACTGCGTTCCCTGCTGGAACAGACGGCATGACTGTTGTGCTTCTATATACATATGTAGTATGTATGTTTGTATGTAGCCGTGCCTGCCATTGAATATGCTTCTAAAATGCATATCGATAAGAGTTTGCCGTTATCGACGAATCAGTCTCTTTGGGGCGGGTGTAAAAGTTATGGTTACATACACACACGCACACACACATGTATGATATTCATAAAAATGAATTTAGCTCATTACTGTTATTTAAAAATAAATTTTATGCCTTACCATTAAGCAGCTTTGGTTGATTCGCTCTGCAAGTGTATTTAATCCAGCTGGGTTTTTATGTTATTTTTTCTCTCTCTTCTTTCTCATTGCTGCTGCTGCTGTCGCCGCTGGCGTTTGCCGTTAAACAGTTTGGCCCAGTGTTGCCGTGCGCCGCCACAGTGTAGAATTTGTTGTTGCTTGTGTTTTTTTTTTTTTTTGGTTCGTGTATTTCGTTTGTTTTTGTTTGCTCTTGCAGAGTCTAATTGTATTTTTTCACTGGCTTTGCCATTTGCCTTACTGTTAGCATTGTTACGTTGTATTTGATATTGCCTTTTGCCTACGGACGCGTGTCAAGATTACGGCGAACCGACTTCACTTCGACTTTGCCGCCTCGCAACCCGCCCTCTTTTGATAGCGCGCACACGAACTGTCATCTATCATCATCTAGCGCGATGGACATTGCGGCGCTTTGGCTTTCTTTTTGCTGCCGACGTCGACATCGCTGCTCCTATTGCGCTTCCTCTTTGTTTCACTTGCTTCAGCGCGCCTGCAAGGAGAGAAAACAAATAAAATGCCGTTACTACAGACACACACACAGTCACACACACAGACACACACACATTTAAAGCTCTTCTTATTTAGTTGTTTTTTTTTTGCGCGCAGTCAAAAACTTAATTCAACGCAATCGCAGTTTTTCCTTTTGGCTTTTGATTCGCTTCTTCTTGGCATAGAGTTGGTCGCTGTCGCTGTTGCTGACGCGACGTCGACGTCATTGTTGGCGCTGCTGTTGCTGCCGTTTCGTGTGCTGCGTTTCCGTTTTTGCTTCGTTTTGCTTTGTTTGACATGTTTTCTCCAGCGAGACGCTTGCATATACATATATGTAAGTACGTATGGAAGTGTGTTTATGTATATGCATGTTGTTACATATGTATGTACGCTTGTATGAAATGAATGCATTATATGCCTTTGTGCTTATTACTTTGAAGTTGCCATGCAGCAGCAGCAGCAATCGATAATTTAATTAAAAGAGAGAGAGAGAAAAGTAGGCGTGTAATGCATATCGGAGAAATTTATAAAAGGAAATGACAAAATGCATTCGCGTATGTATGTAATACGTTCCTAGTACAAGCATATGTATGTACATGCGCATATGTATGTATATATTATGCACTTTACATTATTAACATTGCCGTGTAACATACCTTGCCTTTTTAGCAGCACACTTTGTTATCGATTTGAATTTGTTATCGAAACGCTATTTTTGTATATTTTGTTGTTGCTATTTTCACAAATATTTCCATTGCTTACCGCATCTTACGCTAAATACTCCCCCTTGTACCATAATACACAACAAAACGCATTCACTCACACAGGCATCCATGCACACACACACACACACACACACACACACACACACAAACAGAAATAGAGAGAGAAAGAGCGAGGAGAGCGTGCTAGAGCGACGTTCGCCGCGCTCCTTCGCTTTTTCGTTCGTTTGTTCACTTTGCTCTTTGCACACATTTTGTAACCCACCGCCCCATTTTGCGGCGTCGTAATAATTCGCGACTGCGATGACGTTTTTCTGCCATAATATTGTCTGTAGTTGTTGTTGTTGTTGTTGTTGTTTCTATTGCGGCTGTTGTTGTTGCTGTGGCTGCTTTGGCTTTGGCGTCTGCTTTTGTTGAGCATCTCATTTATTCGGTAACGATTGCACCACAAGCTGCGATTGCCTACTTTACACACAAGCATACACAGACAGACTGACGCACGCACACAGGCGGTCAGTCGAGCGTGGGGGGTGTGCCATTTGCATTTGTGTCTGGGCGCGCATTTAAAGCATCTAGATTCTAGAACAATTAGATTATACAATTAGAATTGTGCGCGGGTAGGTTGGCGAAGGGGGGGGGGGGGGGGTAGAGAGGGGTTGTGCCTGATTGAAGAGCACTTAAATATGGACACACATGCATGTTTGTGTATATTTTTAATTGTGTACGTACATACGTAAATATATATACTTGTGCGTGTGTAGGTCTGTGTATGCATATAAAATTATGTCCGGCTATGGTCAAGTGTTCACATATTTTCTGTTAACCCCTTGTTTAACCCCTTCAAAACCGGAACAAAACAAATACTTAAGTTTTTTGCCCAGTTTTCACCTTTGTGGGTGGAATTTTGTAAAGTCAATTTTATATGCACATGTACACATACACACGCATGCATTAATATGGGTTTGTAACAATCTTAGGTTTTTCTTTATAACTGACGACACGCGCGCGCTTTGCATTTTCACATAGTTGTTGCTATTTGTAATTGCTTATCAGTGTACACAAACACACACATACACACACACACACACACAAACACACAAACACAGAGAAACATATTAACACTTAATGGCTGATAAGCAATAACGTACAAAGTGCAAAAGAGAGAGGGAGAGAGTTATAGTGAGAGTGAGAGTAAGAGTGAGAGCGGGAGAGACTAGCAGCGAAATCTATTCGAAGTTAACCGCAGCGAATTCGCTCTTTAAAATCGCTTTAAATTCAATTTGCATGGCCAGCATAGCACGCGAAGCGAAACGGAGCAACAGTAAAGTGTGGTTAAAGAGAATATTTTGGGTGGAATGGCTGGGCTAAGCTAGTATCTGGATGGCAGCTGCTGCTTGCGGGTGGGTCGGGATGTGGTGGGGTGGGGTGGGGTTATCGTTGCCCTTTGGCATCAAATGAAGTTGTCGCTGACATACGCCGCCTCCTGCGGCTCGTTGCGACCCCTCAGCGCACCAAAGAACGCGCGTCGTCCTACATTTGCGACGCTTGCCTGCCTGCCTCTCTCCCGTCTCCCCCACTTCTCGTCACACCGTTTGCGTCTCTGTTGCTTCTACTGCTACGTTGTCGTCGCGGTGTTCCCCTTTTCTTCTCTTTTTTTTTTTTTTTTTTTTTTGCACTTGCCGTTCGATTGTGTGACATTTTTTATTTAACGTTTTTAGACTGCGCTGCTGCCGCTGCCGCTGCTGCTCCACTTGTTCATTTTTATACCCTGTACTCATTAAAAATAGCAGAAAAACGAAATGAAGTGCATAATAGAGTTATGCGAATGTACATACATACACATACATACATACATTTGTATGCAAGAGGCAGATGGAGACGCTTTCGATGCCTAAGAGCAAGTATTTATGTATGTACGTGTGTTGTATGTATTATTGTATGTTTTTTGTATGTACATACATACATATGTATAATTCGTCTGTCTGCAGAGCGAACCAGTTTAATTGATTCGATAACTTCTCGGTCTCTATTTTTCTTTAACTCTTCTCGTATATATGTATGTACATATGTATACACATCTACGAAATTTAACGGGATTTTTAGATAACATTTTATGCCCCAAATGAAGTACATATGTTCCATTAAATTGCTAATTGCTAATTACAGGGTATTGTCCAGTCTTTAACTCTGCAAACTTGTTTCTTTTTATTCTCCTAATACGTTTTTTTTGTTAAGGATCGCATCGCGCTTTCCATAGCTAATGATGGATAATTTATAAATATGCCAGTTAATAGCCTTGAACTCGAAAAATCACAAAAGCAGAACGCCGTAATGTGACGGGTAGGGTTGGTGGACGAGGTGCGGGCACAAACAAACAGGTGAAGCGCTTAATATGCCCCAATTTTCATAAGAATTGTGTGCGTTGGCCTGCGTGTAGCAATGACCCACCCCCTCCCATTTCCAAGCGCACAATTCCACACACAATACACACACAAAGTCAGCGGCATATTTCGCCACAGACCATCGAGAAAACGTGCGCAAAACGAAAACACAGATAAGACAAAAGACACAAAAAAAAACCAACCTCAAGTAATAAGCAAAGCTACAGCTCGCTCCCCCCCCTTCCCTATCGCGCTCGTCAGTCAGTTTGCTATTGAAGCAGAGTGGACAATACCGTTTGCTTATCGGTCGGTCGCATGCCATGCAAACGCACACATTGGAACACACACGCACTCATACACACACTCACGCAATACAGACGCCTTTACACTTGTGATTGAGCGCACGCTCTCACTGCTGCTGCTTTTTACCTACTCAATGTCAGCGGCGGCATCCCAAGACATTGATAAAAGCTTTATTACTATTAATTGCTGTCAAAGAAGAACTCGAGAGCGCAGTCGAGTGTAAAGCTTGAGCGCTTTGATGTTGATGTTGTCATATGATGTGATCCGTCGCAGCGCAAAGCGTTGATTTGTTCCAAATTTAAAGCTTCTTTGGCAACTGGCAGACATTGAATGGGAATAGGGCTGACTCTCTTTCTCTCTCTCTCTCTCTCTCTCTCTCTCTCTCTCTTCATCATGCTCTCTTACACATGAACATTTACATAATATGATGGATAAAGCACTTGAGCATGACAGCGCAGAGCATACAATTTCCCCCTGCCTACACCCGCGCAAACAACTGCAGTTGGCAACTTTTATTTTGGGGTCACTTGTGCAATCATTGCTGCTGCTGCTGCTGCTGCTGCTGCTGCTGCATTTACTACGCTCTGCTGTGCCTTTTGCTCTGCATCTGCTGTTGGCAACTTATTTTTGGTCAGTGAGCCGCTGCTTTTGCTGCTTACCCTTTCGACTGCTGATTCGCTGTCGTTGCTCCCATTTCTGCCAAGCGAAAAGCGTCCCCCTTAGCGCCTGCCTGCCTGCCCGCCTGCCCGTCTGTTCCTCTTTACCCTTTCAAAACATTTCAAGTTAACGGTGCTGCGCGCAACACATTCAACAGTCAACAGGCAATAATAGCAACAACTAAACTAATATACTTTTTCTTCTTCTTCTTCTTCTTCTTTTATTTTTTGACTGCTTTGCTTGCTAACCCCGCGCGCTCTCTTTGACTTTGTTACGTTGAGTTGTTGCTGTACGCTTTCTGGTTTTGGTTTTGGTTTCTATAAAGCTCTGGAGCGCGCGATTTGTTAGCGCTGCTTCTTCAGTGTTTCGCTGTTTTGCCTTAAAATGTATTGATACCCTGGAATAAACGCGAAGGGCATCGAACAAAGTGTGTGTGTTCGAGCTACGCATAATTAATTGTTGCATGTAGTCTCTCGTGTGGAAATACAAAACATTTTCAATTAGATATAAATAATTAAACATATATCTTATATATATGTAAATAAATATATCAATAATTAATATATACATATATTATATGTATATATATATAAATATATTTCACATTCATGGGCATCTACTAGTCGTGCTTTCTTGTGTATTTTTATTTATTTTATTTCGTTTTTGTACAGATTCCTACGTACAATGTACTTTCGCTTTCATTTTTTTTGCGCGCCCCTTGCACCTCCGACTCGTAAGCCCCCCCCCCCCCCCCTCTCCCTCTGCGCCATGCATCTTGCTCGTGCCATTCTTGTCCGTTATTGAGTGCGTGCGTGAGTGTGTGTGTGTGTGCGTCTGTGTGTTTGTGTTTGTTTGTTTGTTTGTTTGTTGCTCTTTTCTGCTTTAATAGTGAGCATTGACATGCTGAGCTGCGCATTTTAATGCGTTGCCGTCGTTGTTGCACTCTTTTTTTTTTCTTCTTTTTTTTTGTTGGCTTTGTCTTCTAGCTTTGCTGCTTTAATTCACATTTGTAGTTTGTTTTTGTTGCTTCTTCAAATGATATGGCATATTGGCACTATGTGTAAGGCCGAAAGGGGGTTGGGGCGTGTCAAGCGCTTTTATTGAAAGAGAAATTAGCTGAAATTTACCTTGCCCCGCTGGACAACAGCGTCGGTTGCCTGTTTTAACTGGCTCCAAGCGGCGCTCGGTTGGCCCAGTTAATTAAAGTGCGACCCACGGACGAACAGCATACTGGCCTGCAAAACTGACATCGATACACAAACACACACACACGCACACTCACACTGTTTGACAGTGTTGACTTTCAGCGGGGGGGGGGGGCGGGGCTGCGTGGTGGCGCATGTAATATGGGGCAGGGTTTTTATTTGTCATCTTCCTTTGTGAGTCCGCGATGAGTCATCGATAGGCGATTAACGCGCTATTGCCCTGCCCATAGTTCGATAGCATATTTGTTATCGATAGACGACGTTAATGCGTTTATCGATAATGCACGATATTACCAAGCTGTAGATATTGTTATTTCTTGATTGATTTGGTATTAACAAAATTATCGATAGCCGATCGATGTTATCGTGCAATCATCAACTCGATATTGATGGACTTTCGAAATGTTTATGTTACTTTGCTCGGATCAAAATGAATGATAATTGCGATATACTATTGAGATTTTTTATTTTTATTTTTTTAGCGATTGTTGGCAATCGCAATGCTAACGATAATTTATTAATGTAAGCTTGATGATAAATACGCTAACGATAGATTATCGAAATGTTTTTGGAGTTTAGCTCGTATCGGCATGAAGAGGTTGACTTCAAAATAGTATCGATAGATTGTGAAAATGTGTTATCGATCAACTTGCGAAGTGTTATCGAAATGTAATTGTTAAAAAAAAAAAGACGCGATATTAATGCTGAATGCTAATTGGAGGCTCGATAAAATCAATATTAAGATTTGTTATTGCAATGAAAGTTATCGATGCTTGTAATCGTTAACTAATTACGCACTTTTACACACACACACACACACACACACACACACACGAATGTGTGCGTATGTTGCGTCTGATTGTCGCACAGGTTTTTCTCGTATTTACCTTATATACCGTTTTGCCAATGCCTTTTTACAAAACTCAACTAACTTTCCCCCAACACTTTCTCTCTCTCTCTCTCTCTCTCTCTCTCTCTTTCTCTGGCTCTCTTACAGAACCGAAAACAGCAGCACGGAATTGGCGCGTGAGAACCTCTTCCAGACGAGCATGGACGATGCCAAGCCACTGAACAACAACAACAACAACAACAACAACAGCAACAACAATAATAACAATAACAAATCAACATATTGCGATGTCAACGGCGCACGCACAATTTGCTCGATCGAGAACCATCAATCGGCGCAGCTGATGCGTCCCAGCCCAAATGGCAATGGGAATGGGAACAGCTCGATATCCTCCTCCACATCCTCCTCCTCCGCATCCTCCTCCTCCATTGTGCCCGTGTCTGCGGCAGCCGCCGCCGCAGCAGCTGCTGTGGCGGCACGCAAACGTCAACTGTCGAACAGCAATCTGGTTAACGATCTGGAGATACTCGATCGCGAGCTGAGCGCAATAAATGCGCCGATGCCGCTGATCGATCCGGAGATAACACAAGGTGCCGAACAGCTGGAGCGGGCGGCTCTCTCGGCGTCCAGGAAGCGATTGCGCAGCAACAGCGAGGACGAGAGCGATCGGTTGGTGCGGGAGGCGCTCTCACAGTTCTATATACCGCCGCAGCGTCTAATCTCGGCCATCGAGGACTGTCCATTGGATGTTGTTGGTCTCGGCGCCGGCGCCGGCGCCGGCGATCATCAAATCGGCGGCAGCAGCAAACGGATCAAGCTGAGCAGCGTCAACGGTGGCAGCACGGCTGATCACTTGGATCTGGTCGATTTTGATATGAATCAGAATCAAAAGGACTTCGAGGTCATCATGGATGCACTGCGCCTGGGCACGCCGACGCCGCCCAGCAGCGGCAGCGACTCCTGCGGCCAGGCGGCCATGATGAGCGAATCGGCGAGCGTGTTCCACAATCTGGTTGTCACCTCGCTGGAGACATGAAAGTATCAGTAATGCGGGCCACATCAGCGGGCGGCACAGGTGGCCCCCCTCCTCGCCCCCTAAAGGAAATAAATATATACACACACATATATATATGTATATATACGTAAATATGAAAACGCATTCACAGGGACAAACCACAAATTGGCCTAAAAGCAGCAACAAACAAAAGAAACAAAAGAAACAAAAGAAACAAACAACATTTACAATTACACAAGACAAAGAGCAAAGAGTTTTCTAGGTTTAGTTAAGCGCTAATTAAACTAAGACTTAAAATTAAGCTATAAACTATAAGCTCAAATACCGCGAGTTGGGTCTTTGGAGCGGCGGCAGCAGGGCGGGGGGGGGGGGGGATAGTAGGGGATTTGGTAGGGCAGCAACAAGTCGGTGTTGTCACATGTCGTTTCAGTATTACAGCATATTTGATTGCCGACTTGGCCAACAGCAGCCGCCTGTTAAAGTCTGCCAATAAAACGTCTCGCAATTTTGTACAAACTTTTGTTTAATGACAATTTGTTTGTTTTTTTTTTTAGGTTAAGTCGAAGAAATAAGGAGAAAAACACACACACACACACAACAAAAATCAAAGAATTTGTAGTCAAAAAGCAAAAAGAAAATATCAAATCTCCAAGAAGCTGAGTGATATGACAGCTGAGGAGAGAGAGAGCGAGAGAGAGAGAGCGAGAGAGAGAGAGCGAGAGAGAGAGAGTGTGGGAGTTGGGGCTAGGGTAAGGCGTCAGTTTTTGCCTGCAAACAAAACAAAAACAAAAATAACCTAAACAAATGAAAGTACCAACAAATTCCTTAAGTACAATTGTGCCAGCTACTAAACAATTTAGGGCTAAAACGACTTGCGAATTATAAGCAAAACACGATCCAATGCTCAGCTCCACACACACACACACACACACACACACACACACACACGCACACACACACACACACACGCGACACACACACGACACACACACACGCGACACACACACGACACACACACGACACACACACGACACACACACACACACGACACACACACACGCACACACACATTCCAGCATTTCAAAACGAGAACAAATACTCGCTGAGCATTAGCTCGTACGTTTATTTTTCCAGGCATCGCCCAACGGTTCCACAAAGGCACAATTTATTTCGGTTCCGGCAAATAGAAAAGAAAAACAAAAAAGAAAAGAAAAAAAAAATGAAATAGTTCCTGCCGCTTTACCCAGGCAACGAATTTCGTTAGCGTTTATTTTTTATTTTTACAGCGCTTTGTTTATAAAAAAAAAAAATACTAAAAAATCAAAAAAAAAAAAAACAACAAAAAATTTCGTTCTCCTAGTCACAAAAAATTTAAAAAAAAAAAATACATAAAAAACACGAAAGAGAACGAAAAACCGCGTAAATTTTTGCTACACCTGCAGTTATAGGCGCCGTCCAGCCCAATGCATTCCACTCAAAATGGTCAAAAACAAACCACAAAACCACTCAAAATCATATTTGAAAACACAAACAAGAAGAAAACACTCGAAATTGCAGGCCAGTGATTAACGGTAAAACTAAAAAACAACGGTAACTACACTTGTCGGGAGGGGGGTGAAGGACAACAGGGCTTGCTCTGCAGAACGTTGGTCACACTGAGTTGCTTTTGGCTGTTTGCCAAACGCGGTCACACTGTTGCGCTCTCAATGTATGCAGCGGGTCGTGCGCGGGTTGGGCGGGCATATGGTCAGGCTAACGGTTTCATTTTCCATTTTATAGAAAGAACAAAAATTTTTTCCATTTTTTATTTTGCTAATTTGCTAAACTTTCAAAGAAATAAAAAACAACAAACTCTGTGCACAAGAAACAACAAGAAACAACAAGAACAACAAGAAATTGTAAACAAAACGTGAAATGGATTATTAAATAGCAATTTAAATATACAAAAAGTGCAATTAGAATTTTTTAAAATATTGACGCAACAAAAGCGAAAACAAAAACAAAAACCCAAAAAAAAAAATCAAAAGTGCATTGAAAAGTAAATGGCAAGCAAATAAGTATTTAAACAGTTTTAAACAGTAATTGGGCAAGCAACAACAAACAATTTAAGGCAAACAAAAAGCAGAAAGCAAAAACAAAACAAAAAAAACAACAAAAAGAATCAATTTTTTTCTTCGAAAAATAAAAATGGCTGTGATAGAAATTTAAGTTTTTGCTTAAGAGTTATTCGAAAATAAGAGAAAAAACAAAAACAAAAACAAAAACAAAAACAAAAACATGATCTATGTAGATAACGTACATACACACATACATACATATTGATATAATGAAGAGCATTTAGTATTAGTGTTGCGAGAGCGCGGCTCCAGCGTTTGTGCGTTGAGCGCAGCTTAAGAGAGAGAGAGAGAGAGAGGGAGAGAGAGTGTCGGCCGCTCTCATTTGCATTGCATTTTGCAACTCGCTCGCAGCTTACATTGATTTTAGTTCGCATTTCTGCATGAAAACCGTTAGCTTTCGTTTTTGTTTTTGTTTTGCGTTTCGTTTTGTTTTCATTTTCAGTTGCAGAGCCAAAAATGAATTAAAAACCGCCTCAAAAAAAAAAAATGAAATTTTTACATATAAGAAACAAAAAGAATGCTTAAAAACAACAACAACAACAAATTGTTGCAACTACCAAGTAAATATTAATACGTAATTAATTGTATTGTTTATAAATACTTTGGCGGCGCGACGTTCCAAAGAATGCGGCGGCAATTCCAGCAGCCCGTTTGCTAGGCCCTAGTTATACAGCAATAAATACATGTACACATATATATACAAAAATACATATATATATATATATATATTAAACAATATATACATCATACGATTTATGAATATTATTTTCTAGTACTGTTTAAATTGCCAAAAAAAAAGGAAGAAGATTATTAAAAGAAAAGTTGAAATGAATAAGGCAAAATCTAAGCGCATAGTCCTAAGTAAACCCTAACTTGTTACCATCTGGAATACACAACATTTGTTTATGCCTTAACTTTAAGTTTACTACTTTTTTTTTTTGTATTATTTTTTTTTGTGTTTAACTAGACAAATTTTAGATGTACTTTATAGCATATATATGCTTATGTTAATGACAATTATTTCCATTTTAGTTAATATTTCAAAAATAAATTATATTATCAATATATATATATACATATGCATATATATATATGTATAATAATATATAGAAAATCGAATTCTTTTGATTTGCGTTTTCATTTTTAGCATTGGAATTATAAGTTCGTTTTCCTTTTTGCCTACTTTTAATCTTGATTGTTATATTGATTTCCTTGTTTTCCATCTTAACTTGGCTCGGACCCAATGTCGCCTTTTATCGTCTATCGATTTCAAGTTATATGCATATTATTTTTTGAATCAGAACCAGAAACTGCTTTCGAATTCGACTTGAAAAAGGAAAGCCTTCAAAAGCGATCGATATTTGGCAAATGTAAAATCATCAATGATCAAGACTTATCGAATTTCTTGTGAAATAAATGTATTTTTTCGATTAAATCCAATACATTTCTGTTGTCATTTTGCATAGTCCAGAAATCGTCTATCGTTATCGCATAATCGATATCATCTTTTTTTCTCATTAAAACAAACCCAAAAGTACTCGAAAAACCGCCATCGATTGTCGATAAATAGTAAACAATAACTGCAATTTATCGATAACATTAACAAGCCCAGACCAAAAGGGAACAAATGGGCCCATGGGATTTACGACCCGTTTTAATTAAAAACATATATTTAATCGATTAATCGACAGATAGATGGTCATTAATCAGCCCATGTACTACCATATATATGTATATATATACTATATATGTTCATGTTATGGAAATATTCCAAGATTTTTGGGCCCAGAGCTTGTTTCGAGCATAATAAGTGCATGCGTGAGCGCGGCGCTTGGCAACCTTGTATTTCATATACCATGAGATCATCCAAATGCTAAAGATACCATATGTCTATATATGTATACTCTTTTTTTTTTCTTGGAGCGATTTGCTAAGCTGAACTTTTGCTGCGACCCAGCTCAGGGCTATGTCGCATTTTGGGGGTCAAATGTGTTTGAAAAACAACAACAAAATTATAAACAAACAGCAAGCGTGCAGTAAGAGAGGGACAGAGACAGCTAGTGAGAGAGCGGGAGATATACAGAGAGAGAGAGAGAGAGAGAGAGAGAGAGAGAGCGAGAGAGCGAGAGAGAGATAAACTGTTCCGTTGACTGACTGCATTTCGCTATTTTGAATGCCAAATTTGAAAATTCCAAAGCTCGACTTTGTTGTTTTTTTTTTGGTAAGCCGCGTGAAGCAGCTGGGAGCGAGGGGCGAGGTGGGAGGTGGGAGGGGGCGTGCCGTTGTTTCATGGCCAATGCCGCAGCCGTTCAACGACTCTCGATGAGCTTGAACTCTCTGCGACACGAAATGAACAGCCAAAAAACCAGAGCGTTAACAAAATACAAAGCAAAAGAAGCAAAAAACAACAAACAAATTGGTTTCAACAAAAGAGTAGCTCGTTTGAATTTTGGCATCACCTGTTTTGTATACCCTGTACACGAGTAATGCTAGCAACGGATGTTATCGGTTATCGCAACAAAATATACACATATACATACATACATACATGCATAGATGTATCTTTGTAATTAAACGGCAATATATAAGAGAAAGAAACAGTTGAAATTGAATGCTAGAAGAATAGTATAATCGTAGAAGAGAGAGAGAGAGAGAGAAAGGTCCAAATCCTCGTTTTATGCGAAAGCAAGGAATAAGGAACAACAACAACGAGAGAGAGAGACCCGCAAACGAGAGAGCAACAACAGCAAGCATCAATTGTATACACGAGAGAGACAGAGAGAGAGGCGCAAATTTCTCTCTTCTGCCATTCTAATTTCGCTCGCAACATAAATACGTACATTTGCAGCTAACGTAAATAGAAGAACAGGAATAACACGACTTCGCACAGCTGATGAGCCCACAGCAATTGAATCGAAGAGAGAAAAGGCTGCGAGCCTCTCTCTGCACGCTAATCAGCTGTGTGAGGTGAGGTCGCAAAATCTACGAATGTATGTTGCGAGCGCAGTTAGCATGGTAAACGAGAGAGAGAGAGAGTCAATTGCTGCACGCTCATCAGACTTCCTTGCTTGCGAATAGAACCTGGTGAAAGATCAATGCTGCGCTCTCTTTGCTACTATTTTTATGGCATACAAATAATGCCCGACGCTGTGCAGTGCAAATCGGTACTCCCTATAGTTATTGAATTATTTTCCTAATGAGTTTTTGAATGCTCTATTAGTTAGTGTAAGAATTATCAGCGGGTTTGCCTGGTTTATATAAAACTGTTGCAATTCGTACTATGCTCTCTTTATGTGATGCTAGTTCACGCTATGACGGGATTTTGTTAAATTCCACACGTAACGGTGGAAAAATCGCGGAATACGGTTGTCTGGCGTACTTTTGTCTATCAACCGATTTGCTGCAAACTCATTTTGAAAAAAGCTTTGGGTGAATTTTCCAAATTCCAAAAATCCAATCATAAGCATTGAAAACTTCTTTAAGTAATAGCTTTCACGTTTTGTATTGTCTTTAAGCCAAATATTAAAACTATTTGACACCAGCAGAGAGAAGCGATAATGAGAAAGTTTGATAATTTACTTCCACAATATACAGGGTATTCGACAGTCTGGCACTCTAACTGCAGCTAGCTTGGTATTTTGGGTTCGACACTAGAAAAGAATGTCTACCAAAAAAAAAAAAAAAAAAATAACAAATCTATAAACAAAAAGCTTCGACATAAGTTTCTTCCTTTTGAACACTTTGTAGAATTGTGAATTAAAATTTTGTTATTTATTTTACCTTTATTTTTCGCAACATACAATATTTTTCCAAAAAAAAAACTGTGCTGCGTTTCTTTCAATATAGTTTTAAGACAAACATACACACTCTCTCACACACACACACACACACACACACACACACACACTAAGATATTACCTCTTAATCTATGGACCAGTTTTATGACATTTTCTCTGCGTAGATATTACTTGAGTTATATTAAGTAAAGACAAAAACAAAACAAAATTGAGAAATCAACCGATTGAATCATGAAAAAAAAAAAACACACACTTATCGATGGCGATATCGATAACGATAACTTTATACTATACACGCTCGATTGTAGAAGAAGTAACTATCGTTTTTTAACTCGATGATTTATCTTTTATGCTTAGAATATATAAGAACAAGGAATATACATAACGATATCTATTTAAGGATACATAAGTGCTTTTTAATGGAATATATAGACCGCAAGCGAGAATAATGAACAAAACAATATATTCATAAATACTTGTAAAATGAACAAAACACAAAAAACACAAAAAAAATTTAAAGTAAACACAACAAGAAAAAAAAAAAGAAACAAGGAAAAACTTACACACACACATATACAACATACAAGAACATATATACATCATATATACATATATATATATCTATATACATACATATATACATATACATAATTGTACGTATTTATTATGAGTTGCTTTTTAGTGTGATAATTCTTAGTAAAACGAACATGAGAAAATTTGCAAAAATAAAATTGATGAGAAAAAAAAACAAAACTTGTGAGTTTTGAGTCTGCATTTGGATATTGGCCTTTGTCTATCGACGAGCATTACCTTTAAAAGTTCCACAATGAATGAAAGCTGTGAAGAAGAAGAAGAAGAAGAACAACAAGAAGAAGAAGACATTTTGCAGCCAATTCTTAAGCATTTATGCAATTTTTAGTGTTTTAACCGATTTGCATCGGATTTATTTTTGAAAATCTCAAACAAAATTGATGAAATTGATATGAACATGAATGTATATATCTATAAGCTTGTATATGTATGTATGTATGTACATCGATGTATATCTATATGCTTATAGATGTACATATGTATGTATGTATGTATGTACATGCATGTATATCTATATGATCGTATATAGATGTATGTATGTACGTACGTGGATTGCTTTTGTATATACCTATGCACATATGTATATAGATGTATGTATGAATGTACATGGATGTATATAGATATGAATGTATATATATATATATATATACGCTTGTATGAGAACGTGGATGCCTGTATATACATATGTATATAAGTTTATGGATGTATTTATATACGCTTGTGTATAAGTATATATATATATATATATATATTTACGTACATGGATGTACATATATCTGTCAGCTTGTATATGGATGTATGTACATATCAATGTAATTGGATGTATATATATATACCCGCTTGTATATGGATCTATGTACGTACGTACATATATACATATGTTCACTTATACCAAACGCAGACCAAGCTTACTCTTCGCTGCGCTACAAATACAAATGTAACCTATATTTAAATATGTTGCCCTCCTATTCGATTCTCATGAATTCAAGTAAGTCTTTCAGATTTTCTATTCTCTATTTTCTCTCTCTCTCTCTCTCTCTCTCTCTCTCTCTACATTCCTTTTTTTTCCCCAGCATATATCTGTCTTCTGCTAATAAATACATAACAAAACAATCATATACCCTTGAATAGAAGGAGATATCTCCGACCCCAGAGTATGTATATATATATTCTTGATCAGATATATATTCTTGATATATATTCTTGATCAAACGGTCTAAATGTACGTTTTGGTGTAAAACTGTTTTGTTCATCAAGATATCTTACTTAAGCCCAACATTATATGTATGCGAAATCTTATCAACATCGGAAAACTATTATATATCATATAGGAACGATCGGTCGAAAATTAAGCAATTGTGGAAACCATTTTTTTTTGTTTTTCAATATATCTTGACCAAACTCGGCAATTATAAGTTGCACTATCTGCTCTATATATATAACAAAATATCAATATCGGACCACAATATCATATAGCTGCCATAGAAGCGATCGGTCGAAGATTAGGTTCTTATATGGCACAATAATCTGTTCTCCAAGATGTGTGCATTAAAGTCAGCATTTCAAAGGAAATGTCTGCAAGGGTATCGAAGATTTGGGATATTTTTGTACAACAAATAGATATAATGTCTGCTGTAACTGTAACCGATCTGCATTCATGAATGCACGAATAAAAGTCATAATATATATGTACATATGTATAACATTTAATTCGATTGTCAAAAATAGTATGCTAGCTGCTCGAGAGCTTCTCAGTTAAAAGCAATAGAATGAGAAAACTTTCGATAAAATCACAAATTTGAATGTAACTCGCCTAAAAAGCGGTTGTCAAATTAAACCTCACGTCAGCCGAGCTTATCTGCAATATATAAAGATAAATGTTAAAGCCGGAGCTACGTTTTTATAATATCACGAAATACTCACGCAAAGCTGCTGCTGTTGTTGTTGTTGCTGGTTGTCTTATCGTGTAGGCCCAAATCGGCCTCGTAGAGAATGCGATTGAACTCGAACTGAATCGCGTTGCGTGTGTGCGTGGAATACTTTTTCAGCTTGCACTCCAGATATTTGGCATATAGCTTGATATCGTCGTCATCCGAATGGGCATCGGGCCCTGTTGGACTCTCCGCGCCGCTCGGCTGTCGATCATCGTTCGGCTGCGGATGCGGATGCGGATGTAGATACGGTTGCGGATTCGGTTGCGGATTCGTGTTCAGATGTATCGCGTTGCCGATGCTGGCGCCGTCCTCGACGATGATCAGACGTTTCGGTGGCTCGAACTCGGCGCGAAACTCCTGGAATGCCGATTGATAGGGACGCTTGATTGGCTCGGCCAAAATGAACTCTCTGTCGCTGCCATCGAGATCGTTCGATAGGGAATTATCGCTATTTTCGGAATTGTCGCAAGTGCTCGATTTAATATCCAACTGTAAAGACAGAAATGACAACAAATTGCTGAGTGAATTCTCTCTCTCTCTCTCTCTCTCTCTCTCTCTCTCTCGCTCCGTTGTGCTACACTGCAAACAAATGTTGACTTTAATTGCATTTACTTAATTCTTATACGACTTGGCTTAGAAATAAATAAACACAATTTGGGTCGAATTTTAAGTAATAAAAAGACATGCAAATTGTATTTGAATTAAACGGTGAGTTTCCCGTTTTCCAGCCTAATCTTCCAATTTCAAATCAAGAGTTTGTCCGACATTTAAGAGAGCGTAAGCCATAAAATTGTCAGCCATGCGATTTATGATTTAATGTTGAATGCATTTTTTATGATTTTTTTTTTACTTTAATTTTCAATTCAATTTCTAATGATTAATCTTTGACTGAATATTTTTATAATATAATAAAAAATTAAATTTTTTATGACTTAATTTTGAATTATTTTTTATATGATTTAATTTTCGAGAACGTTTTTTATGATTTTACCTAGGAAACATTTTTTTATGATTTAGTTTTCAATTGAATTTTTTGTGATTTCATTTTCAATTGAATTCTTTATGATTTAGTTTTGAGTTTAACTTTCGTTTATGTTTCAAATGAAATACATACATATGAAATTAAATGGAAACCAAAATTTGTTGCTGTGTACAATAATACGCAGAACTGATTGTATATGTACTACATATCGTAAACATATATTCCCAAAGCTGATAAGATTATGTGCATAAATATACGCAAGCACAGAAATGCCCACATTGGGGATTAGTTTTAAACTCCACGATCGCATTAATTTTTTATAAGAGCGCGTTCGTCGCATGCAAAACGAAACACATACATACACATGTGTGTGTGTGTGTCTGTGTGTGTGTGTGCGTCACAGTGCTCACTTATCGATACTTTGTTGTGATGCATATCGATGGGTCTCTCACTTAACATAATCATATATGTACATACATACATACATACCTACTAATTAACGCTAATGGACATTTTCGGCATTCAACAAAAACTTACAATTTTTTCAATTAATAAATAGAATCCAAACAAGTATTCGATTTACTTTAATTTGAATGCGTAGAAAAGACATCTCATTTATTAAAGCAGATCCCTTGGCCAATAGAATTAGATTAGCAGGAAATTGATTATCGCAATTGACCCAATTTTAAGGGAGCGAGGGTGTACTGTATTCACATACATAAATATATACATATGTATGCATTAACATGTTTACATTATGAACGTAACTTTTCGTGTATGCATTTAGACACACACACACACACACACACACGCAGTTATAAAATGCGATCGTACTGAAGTTGTGCTTAGCTTTCATTCGTAGACGCCGCTCTTACGCTCACAGTAAGCGGCACGCTCACGCTAGCGCGCTATCTCTCTATTGCTTCTCTTAAGCACGGTTGCCACATGTGTACATATACATATGTACATATGTATATGTGTGTTATACTTCTTCTTATACTTATAGAAAAGATTTAACGCTTTCATTGAGTTTGTTTGATTTTCTTAGAGTTAGTTATGGAAAATATGTATGTATGTATGTATGTATGTATTTATGTCAAGTGTCAACCGAGGTGTGTGTTGCGCCTCTTACCTTTGGCTGGCAGTCTTTTTTGTCGGCCTTGCCTGGATTGAGCAGAAAGGACATGTGACTGGCCCACCATCGGGGATTCGCAACACCCTTGCGATACTGCGATCTAAAGACGGCAATTAGGGAATTCATTTTTCTCTTAACATCCTCCACGCTCGTTTGCATCACGTTCGCCATCGCCTTCCACGCATCGTATCTGGCATTGCGATGCATGAAGCCGCGATTTTCTGGATTCCATAGCACATTCTGCGCCTCATACGCCTTGATAAGTTTCACTGTGTTCTCTTCATCCCACACAATCTGTGGCGCTCGTTTGGTTTCTGCCTTCATCTTTACATCCATCCAAAATCAGACTATTGTTATTGTTTAGATTCAGATTGTTTTTTAGAAAATAGTTTCCACAATAAAGGCAACAGACAGGAGCAGCAACAACCAACCGTTTCAAGCAGAGTACAATAACTGAAACCCAACACAGACACACACATCTTTGCCGGGGTTGTTTCTGTACGACGCATACTCGTCAAGCGACTGAGAGCCAAATAGCGCGCACACATAAGAGCGCTGCTTGACGTCGTCTGCTGCGCTCGTTTGTACAATGAATACGCTGCTGAGTGCGAACAAAGAGAGACGGCAACGACGCATTACACCACGATTGGGAGAGCCACAGATTATGCAAAAAAATTCTGTTCTCAGTGCATTGTGACGTCACAACTGCAGAAATTTGTGCGTAGCGCGTTGTATGAAATTAAAACAATTTTCACCTTAAATTATATTTTGAAGCCGATACACAAATGAAATAGTTAACATTTGTTTCATTTGCAATTTTCTTCATCGTCTTGGATGTTACATGGAGGAGTATAAAAACACTGATGCGGTGCAAAATTTGATTATTCACCTTTTTAATTTTATTCCACATAAGCAAATTAATATTACATCCAAGGAACCAAACTATAAATAAAACATTTGTTTTTCAGCATTTTAAACAAAGCGCAACACGCGCGCGCCATTTTACAATGTTGTGACGTCACAATGCAAACAATCCAGAATTCCTTGCAGCACCTGTGGCTCTCCCAATTTCACAATCACACGAACAAAGCATACCAGTAAAGAGAGTGAATGAGTGCGCGCCGGAAAGAGCGCATACTTACATATATGCCAGCCGTGGCCGTGGCTGTGGCTGTGGCTGCCTGTCCTGACCCCGCCAACTTAGGCATGACGAGACTTAATGACGCTGTGCGCAGTGGCTGTGCTTTATGATTGAGCAAAGAGAGCAGGTGACGGCAAGCAGTCATTGAGCAATAAGTCAAAAAGAGGTGAAAAGTCACTGTCAGCTTTTATTAACGTCTTATACATGTTCTTTAGAGCATTGTGTTCGTCTGCATGCGCAAAATCAAAGACAAAGTCTCAAGAAAAATGGAAAGCAACAACAAATGACTTGCACAACAAAGGGTTAGAATAGTGCAGTAGCTAAGATCAAGGGTCGTAGTCCGAAACAAAAAGGGACAGCAAGAGGTGAATTGCCTTTTCGTCTGCTGCTTTCTTTGTCAATTCGTTTGTTTTGGCTATTGATTGTTGTTCGTATCAGTAGCTGTACCAATACTTGTCTGTGAATTTTGTTGTGTTTGCAATCCCGCTCTCGCAGTTAAACTCATTACAAAGAGAGCTTTTGATCCAATCGGCCTCTCTGTCTATTTATTGACCAATGGCAAAGCAGTATAGTCAGAGCGAGAGCGAAAGATTAATGTGTTGCTGTAGAAAATACTCTCTAGATATCAGATACCTGATATCATTGTCTCATATGTGCTAGAATCGTATCTTTGAACCTTTTTCGGTTCAAAATATCAAATATGCAAATATTTTATGTTCCGTCAAAAGTTTTATTTCGTTATCATTTGTTTTTTTCTCCTAATATGCTGAGCCTTGATTGCAAGGGGCTGGTGTGAATACGCTGTTGCAGCTGAACAGATAGTTGGTGGGACAAGCAGGTGCAGGAATTGTGGATCCACCGTAGCCAGCTGATGCGTGTCCATATCCTGTAGAATGCGTTGATGTCAACATGGGATTAAACATGCGAGCGGAGTAGCCAGAGCTTTTCGCTGCTGAATACGCGGCAGCCGGCGGAGCTGCATAGCTGGGTGCAGCTTGCGCTGAATATACAGGTGCTTTGGGCGCTGAATAGCTAATAGCTGAATATACAGGAGCCTTAGGTGCTGAATAACTTGTTGCAGCAGGCGCTGAATAACTATGAGCAGCAGGAGCTGAATAACTATGAGCAGCTGGAGCTGAATAAACAGCAGCCTTGTGTGCTGAATAGCTTGGACCAGCAGGAGCTGAATATACAGGAGCCTTGGGTGCTGAATAGCTCGTAGCAGTGGGTGCCGAGTAACTTGGAGCAGCCGGTGCTGAATAGCTCGGTGCAGCGGGTGCTGAATAGCTTGGAGCAGCGGGTGCTGAATAGCTTTGTGCAGGTGCTGAGTAACTTGGAGCAGCGGGTGCTGAATAGCTTGGAGCAGCGGGTGCGGAATAGCTTGGTGCAGGTGCTGAGTAACTTGGAGCAGCGGGTGCTGAGTAACTTGGAGCAGCGGGTGCTGAGTAACTTGGAGCGGCTGGTGCTGAATAGCTTGGACCAACAGGAGCTGAATATGTAGGAGCCTTGTGTGCTGAATAGCTCGGAGCAGCGGGTGCTGAGTAACTTGGAGCGGCTGGTGCGGAATAGCTTGGAGCAGCCGGTGCTGAATAGCTCGGAGCAGCGGGTGCTGAGTAACTTGGAGCGGCCTGTGTTGAATAGCTTGGTGCAGCGGGTGCTGAATAGCTTGGAGCAGCGGGTGCGGAGTAGCTTGGACCAGCAGGAGCTGAATAGCCAGGAGCCTTGGGTGCTGAATAGCTCGGAGCAGCGGGTGCTGAGTAACTTGGAGCGGCTGGTGCGGAATAGCTTGGAGCAGCCGGTGCTGAATAGCTCGGAGCAGCGGGTGCTGAGTAACTTGGAGCGGCCTGTGCTGAATAGCTTGGTGCAGCGGGTGCTGAATAGCTTGGAGCAGCGGGTGCGGAGTAGCTTGGACCAGCAGGAGCTGAATAGCCAGGAGCCTTGGGTGCTGAATAGCTCGGAGCAGCGGGTGCTGAGTAACTTGGAGCGGCCGGTGCGGAATAGCTTGGAGCAGCCGGTGCTGAATAGCTTGGACCAGCAGGTGCTGAGTAACTTGGACCAGCAGGTGCGGAATATGCAGGAGCCTTGGGTGCTGAATAGCTTGGACCAGCAGGCGCTGAATAGCTCGGTGCAGCGGGTGCTGAATAACTTGAGTAACTTGGTGGGGCTGGTGCTGAATAGCTTGGAGCAGCTGGTGCTGCATATGCGGGAGCCTTTGGCGCTGAATAGCTTGATGGCGCGTTGTAGTTAGTTGGTGGTCCGTAAGCCTGCAGCGGAATACCCTGTGATGAGCGCGAGAAACGATCATCTAGGCTATCCTCCGGGATGTTGAAGTCCTCGAGCTGCTCATTGCTGGCCCCAATATGGTCTGGAGCCAGTGCCAGCAGGCAGCCGATGGCCAAAATCGTTAAGAGGTGCGCTCCGTACATGCTCGGCTTTCGGTCCGTTTGTGACAATTAACTGAAGTCGGTTGGCAAAATCTTTTATGAGCTCGGAAAATCGAGATCAGCAAAAAAGCCAAACGAAATTGCGCAAGGGAAAATGTTGTGGCATTTGGTTGATTTTCGGTTGAATCAATTAATTGTCATGATATATATATATATATATATATATATATATGTATTATATTTTATTTTTTATTTGATTGAGTTGGCGTTGGTCTGTCGAAATCGCAGGTGTGTTCTACTTATTGTGAACCCAAATAAAGTGGCCCTTGCGAGTGCACCAGCCACATTGATACACTGCCACAAAGGGAATATACCCAACAACTGCAAGCTAGTTAAGTCTCAAATTGGAAGGGTGTGCAATAAATCGCATTGAAATTGATGTTATATTTTTTGTTGAGTATAGAAGAGTATGGTAGTAATATAATTTGACATATGTCAGCATGTGGAGCTGGAAGTTTTGTAGGTTGAATATTTGTAGTGATTGAAATCGATGCTGATTAAGCAGTATGTCAAGCATGTGGCACAGATAAATTGTTATTAACTTAAGTGTATAAGCTGAAGAAATGCCTGCATATGCTATTAATTGATTTGACTGAGCGTTAAAATATGCCCAGCTTATCGGTATTTTCTTTATATTTATACATTTATAGCAGCTGTAGCTAATTATTTAATGTGCTTCAACGGCGTTTGAAGAAGATAAGATTATTGATCTAATTAATTATCTGGATTAAGCAGCGCGCGAAATTTTAAATACGAATAATATTTAAGCTAAGCTATGTTAGTTAACATTGCAGCTGTGCTGTTAACTAGCGCCATCTGTCGCTTTTTACATTATTCTGACAACAGCTGTGCATATGAATTAATCGATAGTTTATAATTAATTATCGACATCTGGCGTTTACTTCCAAATCAACACGTCAACGCTTTCTTCTTCTTCTACGTTGGCCCCCAACACCTGAACGGCGGCGGCTATTTAGCTGGGCTAGCGACATTTTATTAATGTTATTTGGCAAGCTTTTGTTGAAATAAAACGTAAACAACTGAGTATTATTCTCAATAATAATAGCTGCAGGCATTGGCCGCAAATAACGAATTGACGAATCAAAAACCAAAACGTAAGTAAAACAAATTGCGGGGGGGGGGGGGGGGGGACGAGGGAAATTGCAGCAAATCTTCAGCTCACCAGCTGCTTGCGTTGGCAGAAAACGAATTGTGTTCAGAATAAGGAAGCGATACGCGTGACGAGAGGTTATTGCTCTCGTGCTTAACTGACATTTTCTTTTTGTGTATATATGTACATATATATTCCACATATAGAGACTCTACAATATGGTGTCTATCCAAAGACGCAGCTGGATGGCAGCCGGCGGCTACCAGACGTTGTCGCTGTCGCTGCTGCTGTGCATCATGGCATACCATATGCCCGGCAGCGATGGAGCCGCTGTCATGTCCGTTGATCTGGGCAGCGAATGGATGAAAGTGGGCGTCGTATCGCCCGGTGTGCCAATGGAAATCGCGCTCAACCGTGAGTCCAAGCGCAAAACACCGGCCATACTCGCGTTCCGGGACAATACGCGCACCTTTGGCGAGGATGCCCAAACAATTGGCATACGCGAACCGTCGGCTGCATATGGCTACCTGCTCGATTTGCTGGGCAAGACCATCGATAATCCCATTGTTGATCTGTACAGGTGAGTGTCCAGCCGTGTGTGTATGTATGTGTGTGTGCGTGTGTGTGTGTGTGTGTGTGTGAAGCAGCTTGTGCGTATGTGGGCCACGTCATGTTAAATTGGGCTGTGAAATGTTAATGTTAACAGCTGCTTTCACAGTGATATTTAAATAAAAATGTTAATTTTACATTCAACTGTAATTGAAAATATTCCATGTTTCTTATGAAATGTGATTCGCCGCATTAAATGAGGCGAAGCGAAATGCTTGAAGATAAAACGGTACGTTCTGGCTTAGCCATTGCTTCCTTTGTCTTCAAGATCTCTACATTCGTTCCACACATCCAATCAAGCTCCTTACACTTTTAATGCTCTCTTTTCAAAGCAACAAATCAATAAGTAATTAATCGATTTTTTTAAAAAGAAACCCACTACTCGGACAAATGGCGGAAAGTGCTTAAACTAGCTAAATACTAAATGCTGCCTTAGTCCCTTTCTTTGTTTGCTTTATTAACGAATAATTGAATTTACAGAAAACGCTTTCCCTACTATACCATTGTCGGCGACAAGGAGCGCAATACGGTTGTGTTTGTGAAGAGCGACACCGAGGAGTTTAGCGTGGAGGAGCTCATTGCCCAAATGCTGGGCAAAGCCAAGGAATTCGCACAGGAATCAACACAGCAGGTGATCACCGAGTGTGTGCTGACCGTGCCCGGCTACTTTGGGCAGGCGGAGCGCGAGGCTCTGCTGGCGGCTGCCCAATTGGCCAACCTGAAGGTGCTGCAGCTGATCAACGACTATGCGGCCGTTGCGCTCAACTATGGTGTATTCCATCGTGGCGAGCTCAACGAGACGGCACAGTACTTCCTCTTCTACGATATGGGCGCCTACAAGACATCCGCCGCGGTGGTTAGCTATCAGTTGGTCAAGGACAAGCAGACCAAGGAGACAAATCCGGTGGTGCAGGTGCTGGGCGTTGGCTATGATCGCACGCTGGGCGGCCTCGATATACAGTTGCGACTGCGCGATTATCTGGCCAAGGAGTTCAATGCGCTGAAGAAGACCAAAACTGATGTCACCGGCAGCCCACGGGCGCTGGCCAAGCTGTTCAAGGAGGCGGGTCGCTTGAAGAACGTGCTGTCGGCCAATAACGATCACTATGCCCAGATTGAGAATCTGCTGGAGGATCATGACTTCAAGCTGCAGGTGACGCGCGAAAAACTGGAGGAGCTGTGCGCCGATCTGTGGCCACGCACCACCAAGCCGCTGGAAGATGCACTGGCCACATCCAATCTGTCGCTGGATGTGATCAATCAGGTTATACTATTTGGCGGCGGCACTCGGGTGCCACGTGTCCAGGAGACCATCAAGCAGCTGATCAAACAGGAGCTGGGCAAAAATCTTAATGCCGACGAATCGGCAACTATGGGCGCCGTCTACAAGGCAGCCGACTTGTCCAGCGGCTTCAAGGTGAAGAAGTTTATCGTCAAGGATGCGGTGTTGTTCCCTCTGCAAGTGGCATTTGAGCGTGATCCCGGCGATGGTGCTGCCGTTAAGCAGGTGAAGCGCGCCCTGTTCGCCCTAATGAATCCTTATCCGCAGAAGAAGGTCATCACCTTTAATAAGCATACGGATGACTTTGAGTTCTATGTCAACTATGGGGATTTGGACCGTTATAGCAAGGAGGAGATCGCAGCGATTGGTAGCCTGAATATAACAAGTGTTCAATTGCAAAAGGTCAAGGAGCTGTTGGAGAAATCGAAAAAGGATATGGTCGACAATAAGGGCATCAAGGCGTACTTCTATCTGGATGATTCCGGCATTTTCCGTTGCACCGGCGTCGAGTACGTTTACGAGAAGCAAAAGGTCGAGGAGGAACTGGACGAGGACAGCACCTTGGCCAAACTGGGCAGCACCATTAGCAAACTGTTCACCAAGGAGACGGAAAAGGCAGCCGGCGATGGTAACGAAACGCCAACAGCCGACCAGGAGGCCACCGAGGAGCCAAACGAGACCAAGCCCGAGGATGACAGCAGCAAGAAATCCGGCGACATCAACGATTCAGCCGCAAACAATAAAATCGACGAAGATATCAAACCGGATGCCAAAAATGAGACTGTCAAGCTAGTTACCATCAAATTGCCGGTGTCGCACAAGACCCAGCTGCAGTTCACGCCGCCATTGAGCGGCAGCGGCTATGAGGATGCCCTGGCCAAGCTGCAGGCCATCAACAAGGTGGAGGAGGAGCGTGTACGTTTGGAGTCCGCATTCAATGCCCTCGAATCACACATCATTGAGGTGCAGCAGAAGCTGGAGGAGCAGCCGTATGCCGACTGTGCCACCGCCGAGGAGAAGAGCAAACTGTTGGCCGAGTGCAGCAAGCTGGCCGAGTGGCTGTACGAGGATGTTGAGAACCCCAAGCCGGAGTTGTACGAGGAGAAGCTGGCACAGCTGAAGAAGCTATCGAATGTATTCCTTGCACGCCACTGGGAGCACGAGGAGCGTCCGGATGCGATCAAGGCGCTGAGGGGCATGATCGATGGCGCTGAAAAGTTCCTTGTCACTGCACGCAATCTCACCAAGGAGACCAATCCCGATAAGGATGTCTACACACAGGTGGAGATCGAAACGCTCAGCAAGGTGATTAGCGACACGGGCTCATGGCTGAAAACCGAGGGCGCCGCCCAAAAGAAGCTCGCACGCAGCGCGGATGTGCGTTTAACTGTCAAGGATATAACCGATAAAATGGGCCTGCTCGATCGCGAGGTCAAATATCTGGTGAACAAGATCAAGATCTGGAAACCCAAGGTTAAGCCCGACAAGGAGAAGAAGCCCAAAGAGACTGATGCTGGCGACGAGGCAGCTGCGGCCCAAGGCAGCGGCAGCGGCAGCGGTGACAACAGCGACAATCCGGACAAGGACCAAGCTGAGGCACCCAGCACCGAGAAACAGCAGGCGGATGGGGAGGAGGAGAAGGTGAACGCCACGCCCACAGTTGAGACCAATACGCCACATGGCGAACTCTAAAGCATGACATCACTAGAATATCACCAGTAGGAGCAGGCGAAAGAAATAGAGAGAGAGAGAGAGAGAGCGACAGAGAGAGATGGCGAGAGAATCAGAGCCAAACAGAACGCAGGACGAAATGCAAATAGTAAGAAAAGTGGGCGGGGAAAAATTGGTGCGTATAATTCATTGGGCCCGGTCAGCCAATTGTTCGGGTTGGGCGAAGGATGACGGGTTGGGGGACCTGTGAAATTGATTGATTGGTGTGCTAGGGGGGAAGAGTTGGCTAACGGATTCGAAGCGCCCAAAGCATTTCGTACACTAAAGAAAAGAAAGAAAAAACAACAGCGTTCAGTGTATTTTGTTTTTTTTTTTTTTTTATTTAAATTATTATTTTGTTCAAACTAGCTAATGGCGGGGTTAAATTATGCTATCGTAAACTTAAATCTAAAACTAAAGAAATTTAATGAAATGTATAAATTCAACTTTCATTCCGTCGTGCTTTAAGTTCTTCATTCTATATATGCGTGGATATATTATCTAAATAAATAAAAATAAAAAGACTTGAAGTACTCAAAACTCCCCTAACATACATTTTAGATATTACCCTATATATATATATATATGTGTGTGTGTGTGCTCCTCACACCTAAACAAACACTATTAGGCAATGTATCGTTAATTAACGGAAAAAATACTGGGAAACAAGCTCAAAAATAAATAAATTTAAAAAAAAAACAACAACTTATATTAAAGCTGTCTAATTTTTGCTGCATATACAAAAACACTTATTTGTATATAGATTTATTTGTTTTTGGTGATGAGTAATTTAAATAATTTTAGAAGGGCATTTAAATTTCGAGACGCTCAAATTACCTCAATTCGAAACGCACCAACTTTATCAACATTTGTACATATGTCAAGAAAGTGGCACCAGCTGATGCTGATGTACAAAATTCCAATGCCTAATATCGATAGCTACAAATTAATTGAGCAGCAATGCATTTGCAGCACATATCGATATTCAATGCTAGTTCTTCAGTCACATTTTCCGTTTGAGAAATATTCACAGCATATTGACCAGACATTATTGCAATTTTAATGCAATTTGTGTATTTAATCGATTAAAATCAATAGAGGCGAATTTTCCCTGCGACTTTTTGTTTGGTTTATGCACAGCTTAGTGTATTTTCGATAAATGTTTTTGGTCACACTGTTTAAGAAAGAAAATATCGTCAGACGTTCGCGGAAGACGATGTACATAGATTATAATTCCGGAGACTTTTTACACGCCTACGTGATTGCCAAGTTTCGGGAGCATATTGTAGTTAAAGGCAATAATTCTAGTTTAAAATGTGCACGTCTTGGTTAATATATAGAACTCTCTAACTCCCAATAATTTAAATTTTAAGCAACAAAAGCAATAACAAAAAAGAAAAAAAGAAGGCAATTCGCGTCCACACAAATACAAGTACAATAACTGCGAGACATTAAGTCCATTTGCTACAAAAAATATGGCGAAGGCGAATTAGTGCAATCTTGGAAACTTTCATATGTACATACATAGTTAAAATTGATATAAATTGTGTTCAGGTAAATGCCTGCGTCGTGTTTATGTATGAATGTGTTTTAATACATATATATGTTTATGAGATTTCTTGTAATGTTTGGGAGTGTGCAATGAAAACATGTGTATGTATGTGTTGTACATGGTAAGCAATTGATTTTGCTCGCACGGAGATGGAAAAAAATTATATGAACACATCAGCCAGTCGTTTCGATAGCACAACAGTGTGAATTTTTCTCAAAATAAATGCAATGGGGCGGAGAAACCGATTGGTAATATTCGTTTTTACATTCAACGTTTACGTTTACCTTGCATACATACATATGTATGATATTTTATTCATACACATATGCATGTTGTGTGCGATAGTGCAGAGTGCGAATTTCCATCTTTCGATAGCACGTTAGCGCACCGATAACTCTCGATTGTCATTGTTGCTCCGCTGACTGATTCTGTTGCGGCTGCTTTCGGCACGTACATACATTTGAATTACATACATATATATATATTTGTGTGTGTGAGTCGCTTGCACGGCGACGGCGCCTGTCTGGCGAAAGTGATTTTTCAGTAAAATTTCGCAGCTTCAAGTCGACGGACGGAGTGGAGTGCAGCGCAGGTCGATCGGTCCGGTGGAGCCAAATTAACGATGTCGTAAAGGTGCCAAGCGGGCGTGCGATTGACTCCGTTGCTTTTTATTATTGTATCTGTGTGCGTGTGTATGTGTGTGTCTGTCTGTCCATGCATGTGTTTATTGTTGACTTTTCAATTTTCTGTGCACTTGCCCGTATTGTTATTATTTTTTTTTATTTGGCTATACACACTTAGAACTTATTGCGAACGGGTTCACTGCGTATATGCGTCTGTGTGCCGTCCGCATGTGTGTGTTTCAGTGAACGTGTGCGTGTATGGTATACGCAAACAAAGGAGCTCAGCGTTTTCATCTCACTCTGTTTCTGTTTTGAATGTGTAAAGTGCAGGACAAGGTATATTGAATATAACAAAGTGCAGAATGGCGGCGACGCTAGCAGAGCCAACAGTGAAAAGTCAATTTGCTGCATTTGTGTGTACACACAGGCACACACATTGTTGTGCATAAGTGCGTATATAGTATATGCACAATAAAAACACATTAAAAATGATTATAGTCTATTACCATTTCGTTGATATGCTGTAAATGTCCATGCTAACATTTATGTATATACATATGTGTATATATATAATATATATATATATATATATGCATTAACATGTGTGTAAGTGTGCGTGTGTTTGTGCGTTTTTACATTGAACTGTTTCAGCCAGTCAGTCCAGCAGCTGGGCAGGCAACACTGGACTCGGGCGCTCTCTTCGCTCTCTTACATGTGCCCACTGTCGGCGTGAGCGTAAGCTTGAATTTGAGCACAGTGGCGCCAGAGGCGCCAAAATATGAAAGCACCACATTCAAATTGTTATCTCACACAGTTGGGCATAAGCCCACATACACATTGTATGCATACATATGTATGTACTTTGTCATGGAGAAAATCACTTTCATTCCACTATGCGCTGCGGCAGCTGTTCTGGGCAGCAGCTTTTACAGACTTCTTTTTCCTGCCTTTGTACGCACACACGCAGAGAAGCGATTAGCTTCAGTTCTTAAAACACATTTCTTTTAATTCTCGAGTTTGTTGTTATTTTAATTCTATTTGTTATTAAAATGTTGTTATTGCTAAAATAGCTCTGCAAGTAATACAAAAGATAAAGTGAGAAGTTGCGTTCAAGTAAGAGCAAGAACAATATAAACAGAAAAGGAAAAACAAACAAAATTTTGTTTGCCAAACAAATTTCCAATTTCAATTTTCTCACTTTTATATCGTATGTATCGTATATAGAAGCAAAAAAGCGGAAGCTGACGCATCAAGTTTTAAACAAAATCAAACAAAAAAGCAGCCGTGGTAAAAGTTGTATATCGTTTTTGTTTTAAATGTTTCTTGTACCTGTTAAAAATAGTTTTGTATTTGCTGGTAAAAACAAATGGTTTTTTTTGCGTGTTTGTGTTGTTGTTTTTTTTCCTTTTATTTATTTTTTTTTTATTGCAACGCCTGCAAATGAAACACGTGCTCATATGGTTATCGTTTTGAATACGCAGAGTGAAGCCAATCAAAGGACCCCAACAAAAAGTGAGAGAGGAGGACATTGCTCAAAGTCAAAGCATTAGGAGAACGAAGCGACGCCACAAAGCGGCATACGGAGAATACGGCAAAAGGAGAGCAAAAGCAAAAGCAAAAGCGACGGGTCAAAAGTAAAGTGCATACTGTGCGGGGGGTAGTGCTGACGAAAAATATGCGCCCGTTGTAGAACCAACTGAAGAAGAAGAAGAAGCAGAAACAATAAGCAATATTATAATAATAGCAACTAGCAGCCAATAAATACCACAAAGAACGCATGCGTGGGTAGCCGAGGTCGAGTCGAAGATGTTGATAATTTTTCTGCCTGACGCTGCTACTGCTGCCTTAATGCCAGTTTAATATCAACTACCTCCAACAATAATAAAAGCAACAATAAACAAAAAAAACAAAAGAATTAATCGTAAGAGCAGCAGCCTTTGCCTAGCTACACTGAGTGACAGCAAGACGAACGCCACCTACCGTCGACCGTACGCACAACACGATAGCGAGAGTCTGAGCAAGAGCCTTAAACGTCACAATAACAAAAAAAAAAAAAAGCAATACAAACAACGGCAAAAACAAATAATATTAAAAACAAAGACCAGCGAGACACCTAGACGCTTGCGTTGCACATGTGCATGTGTGTGTCGGTGTGCGTGTGCGTGTCCGTGTCGGCGTCTGTGTCCGTGTCCGTGTCGTAGTAGTAGCTCGTGGTGCTGCTACCCGTTCCCCTCCTGCTACCACCACCCATACACGAACGGGCAACTGGGGTTCCGGTGGGCGGCGGATCCGTGATTGACTGTTATCACATTGCCTTGCCCGCCAATATGGCGTGCCTTAACACACTAAAGCAAGAAATCAAAACACTGGAGAAAATCTTTCCGAAGAACCACGAACGTTTTCAGATACTCAATTCCAGCGTAGATGAACTTTTGTGCAGGTTCATCGATAAGAATGGCAAGCGTTACGACATACATGCAAACATAACGGTAAGTACCACACAAACACACACACACACACACACACATTCAAACACAAACAGTTATCTTTAAGCTTATATATATGTCCTGACTGATTGATCCATGCTTAACCCCAAAGTTTAAACTAAATATTTTACTCTAGTTGCCTTATGTGATGAAATCGTTGCTTAGGTAAAAGTGCGATCGATTCTAATCTGTTAATATAATGAATATGGTTGGAAAATGCGATTGGTTTCATTCAATTCAAATTCAAAGATTGCGCAACATCCACCCCTGGCAGAGGTGGAAGAATGGCCGGGCAAAGCCGGATAGTACCCAGCAAAATCGCCTATACAATCTTTCTCGTATTCCCCACACATACATGCACATGCATATGCGCATGTACATTGAGAAGTACCTGCCCCAATGCCGCGCTCGGTTCGCATTTCTTGTGTCCAATGATTAAACGTTAATCATTCAAATTTGTATACATACACGTAAAGCTAAAACCGTTAGAAACACCTTATGCGCCCTTCGATATACAAAAGCATAATTATTCAGTTGTTTTTTAAGACTAAATAACAGACGTTTATTTACGTTTCAATTGCTGTTTGTATTGAATTCATATAAAAAAAATATAACGAAAGCAAAACTGTTAATGCAGTCGTTTCGTAAAGAAAAGAAAAAACAATCTATGCAAATTGTAAACACTATCAAATAACTTCCGACCCCCCCCCCCCCCCCTGGCAAACTTGACGAAGGTCACCTTGCTCTTTTTAGCGCAAGCGATTCCTGTGAATGCGAGAGAGCGCGCGCGCTCAAGAGTTAAATTGCATGGGAAAACTATGGCAAAAGACAACTGGCTGCTAAGCTTGCTGATCCGCAGCTTTTACGGTAAAATTCCATTGGTTTATCCTCCAAGCTCTGCCCTCACTCTTTCGCTCAATTGTTTTTTTTTTTATTGCTGTTTACTGCGCCGTTTTTTTGTTTTCGCTCTCCCGATTTCGCTTAGCTTAGCTCAGCTGTTGCTGCTGCTGCTGCTGCTGCTGCTGCTGCTGTGCGCAATAAACGAAAATTTGTCTTTCGCGTCAACTTTTTTGATCAACTTTTCGCTTACCTCTTTTTGCTTGTATACCCTTGCAGTGGGTGCTATAATTATGTCACAAAGGATTCCAAAATGTAAAAAAGGTTTCTGATCCAACCCCGAACTATTGAAGGAAACTTGGCTCCCATTTGACTAAATTTAGGTTTTTAAACGAATCTCTGTTTACTTTTCAATATCTCAACCAAAGTCAGCTTATTATGTGCTAAATAATAGCTTATTAGTGTCTTGTAGGTACGATTTACTATATGTACAATCGATCAGAAATCGTACTTCCTTTGTTTTTTGTAATGCTCTATTATTATTTTTATTTTATTCATTATTTTAATACTGTCTGAAATATATGGCACGTCTGTAAGGGTATTAAGTATTCGCCAACCCAAAGATTGCTGTTCTTTTTCTTCTTTTTTTGTACCTTTTGTTGTCAAGTTCTCTCACACGCTGTTTTATCGTGTTGTTGTTGTTGTTGTTGTCGATTCTTATTTAGGGGCAGCGTGCTTCAATAATTTATGATTCATTGCCCTGCGCTCCACGACTTGCCAAGTTTGTTGCTTGAATTCCCCCTCTGCCTCCGGCTCCGCCTCTGCTCCCTGCTCCCTGCTCTCTGCTCTCTGCTTCGCTGCGTCTCTCGCCTCCTGACTCTGCCTTGGTTCAACGATCTAATTAAAGGTTATATGTGTAATTTCATTGACGCTGTCTCTTGCCGCTTTTGTTATACTCCACTTGTATGTATATATATATATATGTAAGTACTATATAGGCAGGTACTATCCGGCTTTTTAATCGCTCCAAGAGTTTCCTCTCCACCTATCACCTCTTCACCTTTTCAAATCAACTAGTTCTACATTGAACTCCCTTCATGAAGATCCTTGGAAATAAATTTAAACACGAAACTTCGCTTCTCTGAAAATGACTCAGTCTGATCGGATCTCGGTCAATCAATCAATCAATCAATCAGTCAGTCGCTCAGGACAATGCATACATTACAGTTATATTCATAACTATTTATACTATAACTTTAAATATGTTCTTGCTGTTTTTTTTTTAGGAAACTTATCCATCATCGCCGCCAGTTTGGTTTGCCGAAAGCGAGGAGACGAGCGTTACAAATGCCGTGCAAATCCTTAGCAACACAAATGGCCGCGATAATCATGTGATTAATCAGGTGAGCTCACCACCCCTCCCCCCTCCCCCGTCTGTCGGTCATATGGCAACTAATTTATTATATTTTCAGGTTGGCATATTGCTACGTGAGCTATGCCGTTTACATAATGTTCCACTGCCACCCGATATTGATAATTTAACGCTGCCGCTACAGACGCCGCCGCCCTCCGCATCGCCGTTACGCTTGGAGCGTGGCGGTGGCGGGGGCGTTGGCGGTGGGCCGGGACCGCATGGCAACGAGGAGACCGACTCGGATCAGGATGAGATTGAGGATCCCATCGGCGAGAGCGAACAGGAGAGCGAGGGCGACGAGGATCTACCATTGGAAATGGACGATGTACGGAATACAAATAAAGTGCGTAAAAATCGAAATCAAGAATCCAATTCCCGGATTTGCATCTCAATAATCATGAACCTCCTCCTCCTCCTCTTCCAAGCAGAAAGATGACATGGAGGTGGAACATTTAGCGACTTTAGAAAGACTGCGTCAAAGTCAAAGACAAGACTATTTAAAAGTGCGTAAATATATATATGCGTATATACATATATATATATATATAGTATATATTCCGTCTCACTCGCACTCACACTCGCACTCATCTCATCTCTTTTGAATTGGTGCAGGGTTCAGTTTCTGGTTCAGTGCAGGCAACCGATCGCCTCATGAAGGAACTACGTGATATTTATCGGTCCGATGCGTTCAAAAAGAACATGTACTCGATTGAGCTGGTGAACGATTCCATTTATGAATGGAATATACGGCTCAAATCTGTGGATCCGGACAGTCCCCTACACAGCGATCTGTTGCAGCTGAAGGAGAAGGAGGGCAAGGATAGCATACTGCTGAACATACTCTTCAAGGAGACGTATCCATTCGAGCCGCCTTTCGTTCGTGTCGTGCATCCCATCATCTCAGGTGCGTTTGATTGCACGCACAGCAGCTAGAAAATGTGTTGCGCATCCCATTAACGTTAACTCTTAACCCTTAACCCTTAAACCTTAACCCAGGTGGCTATGTGCTCATCGGCGGTGCCATTTGCATGGAACTGCTGACCAAACAAGGCTGGAGTTCCGCCTACACAGTCGAAGCCGTGATCATGCAAATTGCCGCGACGCTGGTCAAGGGCAAGGCGCGCATACAATTTGGTGCTACCAAGGTAGGTAACGCCCGCAACCTAAATCTTCTATATATCAAATATATATCTTCAACTCATCTATGTGTGTGTATATATATATATATGTACTCGTATGTGTCCAAAGCAGGCGCTCACCCAGGGTCAATACAGCTTGGCACGGGCCCAACAAAGCTTCAAATCGCTAGTGCAGATCCACGAGAAGAATGGTAAATCAAATCGATTCGAATCGAATGTCGAATATATTAGAAATGAAAACGAATATTTAATTTTGGTTTCGTTTCGTTGCCAGGTTGGTTCACGCCGCCGAAGGAGGATGGCTAAGGTTTGTTTGTCGTTTAACGAGTTCTGTAAGCTTAAGGAACGGAACGGACGTTTGCCAAGTTCGTCGCCGCGCTCATCCATATAAAAAACCTAACCCAAAAAATACCAGACACATGCGGCTAGATAAGCCACATCCGAGTGTATCAGTAGAAGAAGCAGAAGCCTCAGCCAGAGCCGGCGCAGCAGCCGGCGCAGTAGCAGCAACAGCAGAAGCAGCAGAAGCAACAGCAAAAGCAAAAGCAGCATGCAAAATCGAACCCGCCATTCAAACATTATTTCTATAATGAACGTTGCCGTCGTTCACGTCGTTAAGTTCTGCAATTTGTGTATACTTGATAAATACATGCATATATGCTTACACACATACATACATACATAATGCAAATAAATCGAATTAAGATTGTAATCTATAATTTTATTTTCTATTATTTTTTTTCTTGTTTCCTAAATGTCATATTTTGTTTTATATTAATTGCGTGCTTGTGTTTGTCTCCAGTTTTGTTGTATGTATGTATTTGTAATCGTGTGTGTGCTTTTTTTTTTGTATTTGTATTATGTCGTTTCCCATCTCTTTTTTATGTGTATGTATTGTAAAAACAAGAGGCGAAATCAATCATCGCTTCAAAGTGTGCATCTTAAGATTTTTTGGCAACTTTTTTTTTTTTTTTTTTTTTTTTTGGCTAGGAGTACCCCAACTCAGACAAATTGCTTGAATTACGTATAGGTATATATAAATAACAATCATATATTTATAATTGTAAACGATAAAATTGTACAGTTAGCTTCAATAATTAACAATTAACGATTATAATAACGATAACGATTGTAAAAGCAATTTATGCGTATATGCAGATTTGTATATCTAATGTAAATGTCCGATTACCGCAGGAGTTGCCACACTGTGTTAATGTGTTGAATTCTATTTGAATTTGCTTTATATTTTGCAACGTTACATTTCATTCACAATGGTAGGACAATGGGCGAAGCGCTTTTGAATAAAACTGCAGAAGAAATCACGCATACACACCTGCACACACACACCTGCACACACACACCTGCACACACACACTTACACACTCCCCAATCCATATACCTAATTGTAATTAGTTAAGTGACGTAATATACTAATATTTTTTGTAGTTATTAAACATGTAACCTTATATATTTCTCTCTAGCTCTAAGGGATTGCGAATGCGGATGTAGTTATAGTACATAAACATATATATATATATATATATATATATATATATATATATGAATATATATATACAAAAAAAATATACATATGTGTAGCATATACAACTAGAAGAGAGTTAAACGATAAGCATAACGAATCGTAACGAAAAGTAATCGCAAAACTGAGCATAAGCAAATTCTAACTGTAAATTCGTCTTTCCAAATAATCGTACCATATTGAGTAAAATAGAAAGAAAAATAAGAAACAGAGCCCAATAAAAATAAATGCGAAAATTAAAAGAAACAAGCAAAATTATAACGTATAAAATCGATGGAAAAATAATAAGAAACTGAATATTGAATACAAAGAGCATAAGATATCTTGCCGTTTTCTTTTTACAACATAATTGTTTTATTATTAATATTTTATGATTTTTTCTAACAATAATTAAAACGAAAGTGAATTTAGCTTTGTACAATCCCACCTATTTGGTGTATGCATAATTTAGTACACAATTATGCAAATCCAATATAAACAGCAATAAGAATGTTGCTTATGCGACGGGCTCAAAAATTTAAGTATGCGCTAAGTGGAGAATAGAATTAGGGCTGGGTCAGTCCACGATGACCACATAGTCGGAGGCCGCCTTTGATGGATGCATTTTGGGCGTTTTGTTTTGTGTGTAGCGGACCGTGGATGCCGTCTCCTCGTTGTTGTCCAGCGCACCGCCAATGATCATCTCCAGCGCGCCCTTCACCTGCAACAGTTCACAGGTCAGCCGAATCTCGGACTGCATTGTCTGCCTGAGCCGCTCCAGGGCAGTCAGCATCTGTTTGTTGTAGCTAAATACATTGTTCTCGAACACATCCATTACGGCGCTGGCGGCATTCAGGAGCGGCCGCATAAACTGCACCTCGCCCATATGATCGCACAGAAAGTTTATAAACTGAATTATCTTCTCGTCCGGTCGATTTGTGAGCGCCGCCTGCAGAGCGCTGCGATGCTGCAGCTCCGTGATGACGGCCACAACGTTTTCCGGAAATTTCGAAATGTTCCGACGTGTGCAGACAAAGTCGAGCGCCTTCTTATAGTTGAATTTGCGCAGATGCATATCGTAAGGTTTTAGCTTGGCTAAATTTCTCTTGACGGTAATTACGTGATCTACCGCTTGGCCCGTATTTGGACGCGCCAATCTCTTGAAATGTTTCTGCCGATGGCTGGCCTTGATTTGCTTCAGATGACTCGGTTTGCTGTCGACAATCATCCGTTTGATTGACACCAGACCATCGACCATGCCGGCGACAACGGCCTGATCCTTGGCAGCAACGGCCAGGCTGACCACCGCATTTGGATAGGTTAGTGTGTGCACCGTTTTATATGTGCTAACATCATAGATCTTAACATGACGATCCAGACCGCCGGAGAGCAGACGCCTGCCATCGGAGCCCAGGCGCAGGCACGTTATTGTCTTGTGGTGCTGTGACATGGTCGTTAGCAGGCGACAGCCACTAATTAAATCCCAGACGCGCACCTGTGTGCCGCCGGCTGTGATGAATATTGAACCGCTGGGCAGGAACAGCATCGACTCAACGGGACTGCCATGATCTAGTGTTTGTGTGATTGCCTGCTCGGCGCGCGTGTCATACAGATTGATTTTACCATCATAGCCGCCGGAGATGAACATGTGATTCGCCTGCGGATGCATGGCACCGGCTCTTATATAGTCGCTGTGCGCATCCTCATATGTTTGCAACACCTTCTCATTCGCCACATCCCAGAGACGGACAGATTTGTCGTCCGCAAAGCTGGCCAAATGCAGTTTGTCGGCAGTGAAGAAGGTGCGATGCACGGGCGCCTTGTGGCCCTTGAACAGACGCAATATGCTCCGGCTGGTTGTATCGAAAAGCTTCACATGACCCTCCTCGTCGCCGGCGGCTAACAGGCGACCGTCCTGCCTAAATGTGGCACCGTAAGCGGTCTTTTGAAAGCGTGACAAATTCTTAACCACCAGCTTTGTCACCAGATTGTAGATTTGCACACGCACCGAACATGTCAGCACAAAATTGTCTGGGTCACTTGGACTGAAGTCTATATAGTCTATCGTTGTGTGTTCCTTGAGCAGCTCCGGTTTCTGTTCGGTGTATTAGTAAATTCGATTTAAATATACGCAAACACTATGAAAACATGCTCACCGCCAAGCGATTCCAATATATGGTGTCGGGTGTGACTACTTGGGCCTTTTGTTGAAACCGTCGTACATTAAGTGGCTGGAAATTGGTCATTTTTTTGATGTTGTGGTCGTCAATTGGCGTCGGCGCGCGCACGTGGAAGTCAACAATATGTTGGGCCTTACAAACTTCGATAGACTTATCGATAGCACTCGATGACTGCAGTCTGGTCACATTCAATTGGCGTACGATCAGTCTGTTTAACAGCACTGTAAAAATATCAATGTTATTTATATGTCCGTATTAATAGTTGGTAATTTTTTGTTTTGCCTACAGCCTTAAATGGAATTGCCACTTTTACTTCTGGCGAACTCGATTTTTAAATCAATTTACAGCTTTTGCTGAAAATTAAAGGATTGCCATATTTTTTTTTTTTGAAAGTGAAGGTGTTGTTTGATGTTCTTCAACTCAAGATATGCACATTAAATGGTAACTGTGTAAGTTTAACAGAGTGCTGTCAACAATCTGTGCATTACACCATGTGTACTCGATGTTTGTATGTGAGGTATCGATACATATAGTAACAACAATAACAACAGGCAGGCACATTTATTTACAAAATAATTTGTTTAACGTGTTTCGTTGGCGCTTTATGCGAATTGATGCCAAATACAGCACAACATCAATGCGTGATTGATTAAAAGTGGCCTCAAAGGCAACACGGGCTCGTCAGAAATAAATAATAGCAACAACAACAAGAGCCACAATAGCCACCATATAGATTCAATTTTAATTGAAATTTATTTATCACCGCTGACGCTGACGGCGTCGCAACGCTTTCGTCTCGTCTCGCTTCGTCTTGAATGTGAGCGTTAGATATTTTAGGCACTGCCAAACAGCCCCTACCCGCCCCCCTCAACCGGTCAATCCATAGCGCTCTGCTGGTGAATCTTTTAATTAACCAAAGATGGGCCCGTCTCTGGCTTGATGAATAGGAAAAGAGATAGAGGAATAGGCAACGCACAAGATGTTTTGGCGAATTTAAAGGCAAATATTAATTGACAGCAATAAATGTGTCCAATACAATTGAATCGAACGCAAACGATCAATAGTCGCCAGCAGCTGGAGAGGCACAGATCGCAGCGGAGCTTCCAAAAATGGACGACGTTATGAATGTGGACTTTAACAATGAGAAGAAGGTGCTGTGCGAGAAAATTATACGTGACATCAACGCCGTCTTTCTCAAGGATGCTGACTTGTGAGTTGCCTATTATATAGCGTATGGCAGAGATGGGCACGGGCCGGACATAGTCCGGACATAATCACACGCGGCCATGCCCATCTCTACCATGTGGTTTCAGCTTCAGTTTAATTATGTAAATATCTACTAATTGGTCACTTTGCAGATCCTCTTTTGAGATCATACCCAAGGACACGAACTGCAATAAGTCGCCGGTGGTGCATGTAGATCACAATTTGGGCCTGGAGTCGTGGTGCGCCCAGCATGTCTATGATCATGCGCATCGGACGCTCATCGCGCATCGACGCCAGACAATGCAGCAACAGTTGCGCACACTGCAGCAGCAGCAGCAGAGCGATGCCCTGGCCAAATATTTGAATGTGGCGCTATTGATTAATCCGGACGTGACCACCTTTTGGCATATACGACGTCAGCTGGTGCAAAAGAATCGTTTGAGCATCAACAAGGAGCAGCAATTCTCGGCCCTGGTGCTATCCATCAAGCCAAAGTCAAACGAGTCGTTCGCCTATCGTCGCTGGCTCTACTCCTTTCAAAGTAGGTGATCGATATAGATATAGATTAAATGAGATTCTGTTTCATTGAGCGTTGCGTTTCCCCATTTTTTGTTGCATATTAAATAGGTGCCGATGCCATCGACTGGCCACACGAGATCAGCATATGCGAACGAGCCGCCGATCGTTGCGCCAGCAATTATCACGCCTGGTCCCATCGCCAGTGGGTGCTGCAGAATGCGCCCTGTCTGCTGCAGTCCGAGCTGATGCGCACGGAGAAGTTTATACGCAAGCATATTAGCGATTATAGCAGCTA